CATTCGTGATGTTGAACAATTCTGCTTGGCCACGACAGTTCAATTCCATTATATATGAATTAATGCAACTTCAATGAGTATAAAGTGGATATTCAGTCAGTGATCGACCGATATGCTTACCTAAACACAAAGGAAATGTTTCAAGGAAAAAATTTTTCCGAAATCGTTAGAAATAAACTCCCTTATTAATAATAATGAAAGTTATGAGTTTACATTTCGGCTTTGGTAAAGTACCCTGAAAATATAATAAAAAAAGAGATGATCTTTACGCAATAACCATATTCCATGGTAGAGTGGAGCGACTTGCCAGTGTCTCTCTTTCCACAAACAAAAGCAATGAATCAATTTGAACTGACGTTTTTATCAAATGCAAAATGATACCGAGAAAGAATCGGTCGCTCGCTTTTCCCATTTCATTTACAATTGAAATAGATTACATTGTAAAAATCGAACTTATTACAATCGTAAGCCATGAATGAGTGGGAAAAGCGAGCGACCGATTTCATTCTCGTATGATTTTGCATTTGATAACGGTCATTCAATTGATATCATTGCCTTTTGTATGGGGAAAGAGAACACTGCATCGCTCCACTCTACCCATGATTATGGGTTTTGGTAAATCCTAAGATACTAATACTAATATACGAATACTGCTTTATTTTAGTCCCACAAAATACAAACAGTACAACCTAAAGGTTGTAGTAGTGTTACGTACGTGACATTGTGTAACTCCCCTGAGGTAGTGGCAATGGAGCCATTGACAGTGTACAGATGACCATCTCGACCCGACTGGTATACCGATGTAAATATAGATTAAAGATTATGCATGATTATCATAGATATAACGAATATAAATATAAATAAGCGTAGAGAGCTATAAAATTAAGTGACTGTGAAGGATGTGGTTACTGTATACAGTACTGTTTATCAATTTAAATTAATTATGTGGTACGTACTTATTTATACACATTGTAGTTCATACAACATAATAGCATATAATATTGGTGACGTTAAGGCCTTTGTTGAATCCAGGACGTAACTAATATAATATGAGGCAATTGGTCAGCTGGGTGATTTATATTCAATGAGCATAATCAGTATCACTACTACTACTACTACAGGGATCAAAGAATCGTAATCTCTGCCAACGTAGAATAAAACGTAAAATGAAACGAAAATGAAAGTTTTTTTGGCTGCAATAATTCAACTGTAAAAAGAGAAGATGTTCGTGATTGACAAAAGAAGATTACAGAGAGAAACTCGAGGATGGTAATCTGGCAGTCATCTCGTTTTCCGAATTATTGTCAAGGCAATGTTGCCGACTTTTTAGTGTAGTTATTTGTGCAGAGCTGAATGAAGCAGTTATTAATTAATTTGATAATTGTACTATGATGCTGGTTCATGCACTCTTCTGAATTTAAGCTAACTATAAATAACAAGTGAAATAATAAAATTAAATTATCAAATTAAGTCATTGAAACTGTCTAGATTACCTAGATAAAAGGGTTTTTGCAAGTGGATACATTTTAGGGGGTCACAGCCAAAGACAGCAAAGAGGCCCAGATCTTAAATCTTACCTCGTGTAAACACTACTCTCCCTTAAATGTCACAGGGCGTTATTCTGTCCTCTGTATCTATTATTTATTAATTTAATCATTAGTATTTAATTAATTAATTGTTGGTATTTTAATAAATCATTGTGTTAATTGGACTATTATTCACAAGGCTCCTGCTTCATTCAAGCATCAATATTAGCAGTAATGGAATCGCTCATTGAAACACTTGGCCAAAATTGGTCAAGAGTCCTGTGATTATAACTTACCCATTTTGACAGTCAAGACAAAACCGATCAATTATTTTTAATGATAAATAATTAATAGATTTCATTTGATTCAATAAGAATCCCGTTACACCAAACTAGATGAGTTTTCGTGAGATTGCTCAAGAATCTCGGGATAATTTAAAAGTTTCTGTCCTCTAAGTGTGGCTGTCATTGTTCCTTAATGTCACGTGTACAACTGGTAGTCTGGGTGTCACGTTTACAACTGTAGTCTGCTTTGATCTAATTGTACCCAACTTCAAGACGTACTCTACATAAACTTGCCAAGTGCCTCGACAAATTCAACCGAACCATTATTATATAATAGATTATTTATTGTTTCCTGTTATGAGCTAAAATAGACTGCTCCTGGTGAAATAAAACCAAAGTAAAACCCGCCCTGACCCATTGGAAAATGACTTTCAACATACTATTCAAAATAGATTTTAAAACAAATTAAAACGATATTAAAATGTGTTTAAATGTGTTAAAATATGTGATTCAGACTCGTTACAACCAGTTAAGCAAGTTAAACCTCACACTGGGCACCCCAGTAATCTAACGAGCAGACAAGCGACAGTGAGAGCAAGTACAAGACCCTGTCAATAGAGAAGATGATAAGCGGGGGGTGTCACGTGCTGTGTTGATACCCCAACACTTTTCGCGTCCGTCAGGGCATTTTGAGACTAGCTTGCTTGAGCAGTTCGAAATACTGTGAGAATGAACGTGAAACTGGGACCTAAACACTGCTTTCTGTTTACTACTCACTTGTTGATTACAGAGCGTATGGTGAACAACTCAGCGTTTAACAAGGTTCGTGTTATGAGGATAATACAATGTTGGATAATAATAACATGTATTTATTATTATTCTAGTATTAACTTATATAGTATGCTAATAATACAATATTTATGCTAATAATGATATATTAAATTATGCTAATAATACATATTAATATTAGCTAATTAAATACATTATATATTATGCTAATAATACTGTATTTGGTACAGACAATTGAGCCCCCCGACAATTGACCCCCGCCCCCACAATTTACCCCCCGACAATTGACCCCCCGACAATTGACCCCCTTTGTAGATTAGCACACCTGGGACAATTGTCGCGAAATCTAGGGTTTAGTACGCAATTGACCCCCCGACAATTGACCCCGCCGACAATGTAATTAATTAAACTGGGGTAAATTAAATCGGGTTGGGGTTGGGGTTGGGTTGGGGTTGGGGTTGGGGTTGGGGTTTGGGTTGGGTTTTGGGGATGGGGTTGGGGTTGGGTTGGGGTTGGGTTGGGTTGGGGTTGGGGTTGGGGTTGGGGTTGGGTTGGGGTTGGTTGGGTTAGGGTTCGTGTTCGGGTTCGGGTCGGTTTGGGGTGTGGGGTGTGGTTTGGGGTTGGGGTGGGTCAATGTATTTCAATATATTTCCGGGGGTCAATTGTCGGGGGGTCAATGCGCCCACCCCAGGTATATGGTTAGTTAATCATTGTTGTCTGGCTGATCGTTTATTTTTGTGTTAGGACACAGATATGTTTAGTGTTCTTTAAGTATGTAATAATGATAGAGTTGTGTTTAGTACAAGAGGGGGGGGTGTCACGTCCTTCTATGTCCGCCCTGTCTCATAGAATCCAAAAAAGGGACAGGACATAGGCGGACATAGGCGGACATAGGCGGACATAGGCCGGACATAGGCGGACAGTAGGGCGGACATAGTCGGACATAGGCGACATAGGCGGACATTAATGGACACCTAAATTGCTAAATAAAATTGTTTCAATATTGCTGTTATAGGGGGAATCATGTTGTTTTGTCCTGTTTGGGTACGCTTATATTTTCAAACGGACAAAAAATTGAGCGGACAAAAACGGACAAAAATGGAAATAACATTTAGATGCTGACCTCCTCCTACTCCTTCTCCTCGCGCCCCTGGTCTTCCTGATCTTCCTCAGCAGTCCTCTTCCGTCCTCTCCCTCCTCTTTCCTCTTCCTACTTCCTCCTCCTCGTCCTCATTCCTCCTCACAGTCCCTCAACAGTCCTCCTCCTCCCTAGTCCTCCCCTCTCCTGAGTCCTCCTCCTTGGTCCTCCTCTGGGTCCCCTTCTCCTCTTTCATCCCCCCACCCCTCCCCCCCCCCCCCCCTTCCTAACTCTTCTCCTCAGTCCTCCTCAGCCTCCTCCTCATCCATCACCTCAGTCCTCCATCCTCCTCATCAGTCCTCCGCCCATTTCCCCACCGTCCTCCTATTCAGTCCTCCTGCCTCCCCTCCTCCTCTCAGTCCTCCTCAGTCCCTCCTCCTGTCCTCCTCCTCCTCCTGCTCCCTCTCAGTCATCCTCCTCAGTCATCTCTCAGTCCTCCTCAGTCCTCCTCCCTCAGTCCTCCCCTCCGGGTCCTCCTCCTCATCCTTCTCATCAGTCCTCGCTCCTCCCCAGTCGTCTCCCAGTCCCCCCTCCTTCTCCTCCTCCTATTCATCCTCCTTCCTCCTCCTCCTCATTCACCTCAGTCCTCCTTCTCATTTCTCCTAAGTCCTCCTCCTGAGGTCTTCCTCCTGAGTCCTCCTCCTCTTCCTTCTGGTCCCCTCCTGATCCTCCTTCCTCCTCCCTCTCAGTCATTCCTCCTCGTCATCCCCTCATCCATCCTCCCCCAGCCATCACCCTCAGCCATCCTCTCAGTACTCCTCAGTCCTCCTCCTTCTCAGTCATGCTTCAGTCCTCCTCTCAGTTCCTCCTCCTACCGCTCAGATATCACTCCTCCTCCTCCGCCTCCTGGGTCCTCTGGTGTCTTCCTGATCCTCCCAGTCTCTTCCCTCCTCCCCTTCAGTCCTTCTCCTACTCTTCCCTCCTCGTCCTCAGTCCTCCTCATCAGTCCTCAACTGTTCACCTCCTCCCCAGTCCTCCTCCTCCTCCCGCCTGGGTGCCCTTTCCTGGGTCCACCTCCTGGGTCCTCCTCCTCCCTGGGTCCGTCCTTCTCCTCGCTCAGTCCTTCCTCCTCCTCCTGCCTAGGTCCCCTTCTGGTCCTCCTCCCCACCTCCTCCTGGGTCTTCCTGATCCGCCTCTCCCTCTCAGTCATCCTACTCAGTCATCGCTCCTCAGTATCCACCGTCAGTCCCATCCTCCTAGCCCGGATGATTTTACCACGAGCCATATTAAGATAAATCCCAGTTTGTTTGGTTAAAAACTCACCGATATGGTGGCCAAGATGAACACGATTATCAAACAGATCTCGTAGTGTGAATAAAGATTTGACGTTGAAAAAGTTCTCTCTCGCAATAGGGCGCTCTTTGAGAGAATACTGTTTCAGAGCACTGTGGTGCTTTTGTACTAGTTCATGTAGAGAGTCTAGATTGTTCAGCATTTCCTGGCGAGATTTATCTTGCTCTAACTGTTTCTGGGGAGTGTAAAATATTGTTTTAAAATATGATTAATTGAGATGACGAGCAATATGCAGTTTGCACTGTCTAAAACATTAGCTTAGATCAATAGGTTACAATAACATGACAGACTAAACAGTAGACGACCATTGCAACACAACATTACAACTGAGCGCAATCATTAAACTCAAACGTCATAAATCAAAACCTGTATTAGGATTCCATCTGCTTCGTTGTCAGACTCAAGATTATCAGAAACTTTAACAAAATTTATTTCTTTGAGTTCCTCCTTGGGAGTGCCGTCTTGGTTATCAATCGTAATTCCCTGGCTTTCTACTGTGACAAAATGCATTTTCTTGATCACTTTGTTCTCCTCTTCCGGAGAAATACCCTGATTTTCTATTGAAACATCATGGTTGTCAAGTGTCACGCCCTGGTTATCTAGTGTCACGCCCTGGTTATCTAGTGTAACACCCTGGTTATCTAGTGTAACACCCTGGTTATGAGGCGTTACACTCTCATTGTCTGGTGAGAATGGTGTGGAGCCATCTGAATTGTCAGCTGATAAGAGCCGGTTGAGTGAAAATCTAGTACTATTCACAGTTCGGAGACATCTTCGAAGGAGCATTTTCTGAGAATGATATTAATTACTACACCCAAAATAAGCCATAATATAATTAATGTAATATAATTTATCAATTTTGTTGTTTACGTCATGTCGGTTAGAGAAAAATGAATGATGATATAACACCCTTAAAGTTAAACCGATGATCTACATTTTATTACTTTATTCAATGGAGTAAAACAGTACATGATGTTTAAAAATTTGTCAATACAAAATTCATAAATAGTTAAAAACAGTCTGCTGTAGTCGGTACACAATGTTTTATAGTTAGTTATAAATAGTCTGCAAGTATGCTGTTAAAACACAGTACCCTTAAGATAGAGACCCAAATATGGATCGCTATTGGGAATGAAATCTAAATATGACATGAAACATTAAGAGAATTCAAGAAATTATAAAATTTTGATATCATGCTGAATCTTCGTCTTTGGAAACATAAATTCCCGGACAATGCCTGACAAAACTCCAAGAGCTTGAAGAGCACGATGCTCAACCTCTTCATCATATCTTGACGCAGTAACTTTCTTCAATAGTCTGTATATTCTCAGGGTTTCTCTCTCTAACTCGTGAAACAATGACTTATCTTGAGATTCTATGAAATTCGCGATTATGAGGATGGCTCCCTTTTTAGCAAGCGGGCTCTGATCCTCCACCAAAGTTCTTTCACAGACATCAATAATCTCTTGGATGTGACAAAGAATCCCAAGTTTACATATTTTACAAAGTTCACCTAAACAACTTAAACTGGAGACCCTCATTATCTCGCTGTGCTGGTGGTTCACGCATTTCAGTAGACAGTTGAAAATCTGAGATTCATATTTGGGGAGCATCTCATTTGTTATTTTGATGATGTTAACCAGAACCTCCATACACTTTGCCCTATCGTCCTCCTTTCTAGACGTGTTCTGAATTTCGTAAGTTATTCTGTCCAGAATATTTTGGGTGTTACACCAACTTATTTGAGCAAGACATTTGACCGCTGCTAAAAATACATAACTGTCGTCGTGGGTCAAGTTTTCAATGAGAATTTTTTGAAGCAATTCAACATTTTCCATGACCAAAGGATTCTTGGCCGCAAATTGTTTGCCAAGTTGTATGATAGCGTGAGCACGGGATGGTATTAGAGGATCACCCAAATCTTTTATAATATCTGGCAAACTTCCTAACGTTGATGCAGTTGCATCTCCTTGGTTCTTGAGAAGATTGGGTAACGAGTCAAGATTTATTTTGGTGGCGATGCAGATTTTTAGATCGTTGGATAACTTAGCGACTTCTCTGTTTCCTGATGTTTCACTTATCTTGTTAAGAGGTCCTATAAGAGATTTAATTTCAGATTCATCTGACTCAGATAAGGTTATTTCATCCCGCATGTAGGTGCTCAAAATACCAAAACTGATCAACAGAACCTCATCCTTCTCCAAACTTGGATTATCTGATTTCTGTACAACTATCAGTTTCAAAAGGGCAATGGTCTGAGCAGTATTTTTCAACAGTTTCTGACCAAATGTCTGGCAGAGTAAATCTAAAAGCAACCCTTTTCGCAGAGATACCTGAAATTGATGTAGATCAGCAGGACCGTCAAGGAAATTCTCAGCTTGTTCTGGTTCGGACCCACTAGAGATAACATCACGAAACAGTTGGAGGAAAAAGTCAGAAAGTTGATCATCTCTTCCGGAGGGTAGAGATTTTAGGATCTTCATCGTCACCTCAACAATCTTATCATTACTTCCAAGGATATCGTTAGGATCCAAGGAAAAGGCAGACGAACGAGGAGCGGAGTTTCCAGACTGACACATCAACATAAACCCACCAGAAGGTCCATTGCCCCAGAGAACCTCTCGTTTATCATTCAGGTTAGTGGACAAAAAATCTATGATTTTATTTGGCCAAGATGACGAGGAGCCTAAAAGCTCCTTTACCAATGCCAATAATGCAGTCTTCTGAGGGGAGATGCCTTGATAAACGTGATGATAAAGATATAAAAGGGCTGAGAGGAATTCATTGCAGATCTTTTCTGATAAGTTGTTTTGGAGTAAGCCTGAATTTGCTATTGTCTCGAGTCGATTGAGCCACGATTCGGCATCTTTCTCACCTAACAATGTTTTACTCATAGATGGGTTTTTCGTGTTTAGGTTCCAAGTGATACAAGGCGAAAATATTTTGCTCCAATACAGATCGAATGCTAAATCCGGGTTGTCTGCAGTTAGCTTATGAACCAAATTCTTGTACAAACGAAGGAACTGTTGCCTGAGTTTTGAGTTCGTTAGCTCCTCTAACATTACAGAAACTTGCTCAATGATGTTGATGGAATATTCCTTCGGTTTGACTCTCGGTGGAGTGACAATAACCGTTGATACTTTATCACAGAAATCCTGGTCCTCGTATGTTACAATACTTCCGTAATGCTCAAACAGTTGCCTAGCCACATTCAGCACTCCATTTGGACGTAAAACTTGTAGTCTCATAAGATCATTGGTTACAGCTAGTAGCCAAGTAGGGGGTTTTGCTGTGCCTTTCGGGAGCTGAAGATTGACGATCTCTGAGGCAACTTTGGGAGACTTGTATAACAGTTCATCTAGGAAGTTTTTGATAATTTTAGAGTCAATAATCTTGCTTTTTTGCACTAACAATAGGTTTTTGTTCTGCTTGATAACTCTCCCCGGATTATTTGGACCAAATAAAATCTGTACACAAGCTGCTATCAAAATACCAAGATACTTTGACAAAACCAGCGACCCATAAAAATTATCTTCCACAAAACTCTGCATAACAAGAACAATTTCCTGTAGCTCCACATTCCTCTGACCAGGACAACTCTCATATTTCTCAACTTCAGTCTGAACAGAAACAGGACAAACACCAGTGTCACAGAGCGCTGCCACTCCAAACCCAAAGAGCATCTGCAGAACCTGGGTAAACGTATTCTGATTGGTTACAGAAAACATGTGACCAGGAGCTGTGGGAAGTGTGGAGGACAAGAGTTTCAAACCGTCGACACAGCAGAATACAAAACCACGTGCATCACTGGAGGGGGAGAAGTCAGAGGGAGGTGAGATTAGGGTGGAGCGAGTAGATTGGTATTGCTTGATGTTTAATACCATAACGGCTTTTAGATCGTCTTCATTTGTTTCGCAAAGAGTTTTGAGTAACGTGAAAATTTGTTCAGTGGTGGCCATGCCTGGAGAGTGTAAGAAATGTTAGAATTCAAAATTTAATGAAAGTTTATTAATTGTGTTGGCTGATTATTTAATTAATAGTAATTTAAGTTCGAATAACTTGATTGGTGCACCTTTATCTAGTATTTAAACTGTGATAAAATTATAGGATTTGTTAAAAATAAAACACATGTTGGAGTTTTAAGGAGATTTGGTGAATGAAATTGTGTATTCAAATAGAATTAGAAAAACAAATACATACACGAGATCATTTGAGTTAATAGATATTGATTTTGAAGATATTTTTGAAGGACTGACGTATTATCTCTATTATAATTTAATATGTTCTTTTTTTGTTATTTATAATGTAGTTGCACAGCAACGTCAACCCACATGAATATTTAATAATAATGAATAATTTTTATTATCATCGCCAACATTTCCGGATGTTATTCCAGTCACGATCTTGATAGATAATATGACATGATCGATCATATCATATAGATTCTATCGATTTAGGGTGAAAACTTTTAACTTTTTAATAAATTAAAGTATCCATTTTATAGAAAACCCTGAACGTGTGATAGAATAATGAGTGACGTAGAAAACAGCGATATAACATTATATATCTTATTTACTACACTTAAAACATAAAAATTGGAGGTTGGAAAAAATTTAGGAAAACCGTAATCTGTGAGGAGCATAACATCATATTAGAAAAATTAAACATGAATCCTTTTCCTAATCAATTGGGACCTAGTAAAAGACGAGTAAAAATTTATTGATATTATAGTTGGTCAATGCAATTAGTTAGGGCAAGAGTTGATTTTTCTGTGAACAAATTCGTAACAAAGGTTTGTCTACAGGAATGTGTTGTCCATAGTCCCAGGAACCACCAAAAAAAACCGTCCAGCCGAAACTTTTGGGCAAAAATTTTTATAGTCATTTTTCTCCAGGAACCCATACGCCCCACCCCTAATATTGGTTATTCGGCTCCCGAGGGTCTTGAGATCTCCATAGGGGGTGCAAAATGACCGCAATGGCCACATTATGGCAGGCGAATGATAGTTTCAGAACGATTGGGGCTTTATTTTTCGAAATAAATGGAATTTTTCGAAATTTTTCGAAATTTTATTGAAATTTCGAAAAAAATACACCAAATTATTTTTAACGCTTATTTCAAATCTTACTCGGGAAATAACTTCAATTAACAAATATCAAATAACGGAGTAGTTCGCTGTTTATTAGTCTCATGATTTAAATACTGATAGTTGGATATTATCCGGTTTGAAGAGACAAGGACAAATGAAACAAGGAAGTTAGGAGTAAGGGTTATAACAAATAATTTGAGCCTGAAGATGGCGTTGACGCCGAAAATTTGCCCTTACTCCTAACTTCCTTGTTTCATTTGTCCTTGTCTCTTCAAACCGGATAATATCCAACTATCAACAAATATCAAGGTTAACTAACAAACAACAGCAGATAAGAACAAATTGTGATGAGAGAATTTCTTCAGATTATTGACCAACCCCCAGACAGCTATTCGACGGTACATACTACTAGCTACTCTGGTTGAATGTCTTAAGTTATCCTACAGTGAGCCAATGATAATCACATTCGATTTGCCGTTGTGGATTAAGGCCACCCGAATAGTACTGGAAACTGGAATGCCTATTGTGGTCAGGGTTGGGGGATTCCACACTCTCGAGAGTTTTCTTGGCTGCATAGGCTATATAATGGCAGACTCGGGTTTAGAGGAGCTCATCAAACTCGTGTATCCTGGAGACGTCACGCATATTATATCGGATGGAGGGTCTTACTATAAAGCGTTGAGAGCCCACTTTCTGATCGACGCCGCTCTTTGTTGTTTCATTATAGAGGAAGAAGTTTACGACGATGAACTAGTAGACTTGGAAGGTTACATCAACAAATGCAAATGTGTGAACGAAATCTAGGTGTTAACTTTAAGACTAAATCTATTCAGGATCTATCAGAGAAAATAACTCTGCTTCTAAAGAACCTGTTTTCCAACAGTAGAACAGCAGCTCTATGGGTTACTTACCACAACATGATAACACTAGTAAAGGACTTAATAAGAGCAGAGAGGTTGCACGACTACAATATGCATTTATCAGCAGTAGCTTTGATGCTGCCCTACTTCGCAGCAGCTGGGAGGGGACAGTATGCAAAAGCTTTAAGACTGTATTTGGAGCAGGATGCTATTTTTGAAGTCAAGTATTGGGCGCTTTTAAAGACCTTTAAAGTAACTGGGCTTCACACGGTTTGTTACAACGACCACGAGTGGGCCGGGGTGTGGACTGACCTCTCCATAGAGCAGAGTCTTATGAGGGCAGCTTAATCTAGTGGTGGATTAACAAGTGGAAGGATGCGTAATCGTGAGTCCGCTCACAAGTGATGGGTGGCCACCCTGAATCAGATGGCTTTAATAAATCAGTCTTTTGGAGATTCATTAGCTAATTCATCGAAGCGAGGAGTACCAACTAAAGCTGCCATCCACTCAGATCTTACCAAGTCATCAATCAAGAAAAACTGTGATGTATTTGGAAAATTATTAACTTGGTTTAAAGTTACTGTCGACTTTACAGAATCCGAAGATAAGACTAAGTTAATATCTTTTTCGACTGGTCTTATATCACAGTCTGGGAACGATGAGGTGAATCCCGAGGAATGTTTGGCCGTTGGGGCTGTCCTTCAACGTGAGCTAGATGGGTTGACATTCATCGATAAGATAAATATCAAAGGTAAAGCAAAGAACTTGACACAACTAAGAAAGCAGGTTAAAGTGAATAATAAAAGCGTTGCAGTCGATCCGTTGAAGTGTTTTAACCGTCTAGTCTTGGTTGCTGATAGAGAGACTTCAATAGAGGAATGCCTAACATACGAGTTAACTGTGGTGCCGATGAGCTTATTTGATCAATATCAGATGATGAGGAAATCTAATAAGGCTGCTCTTGGTAGCTACCTCAAAAACATAAACCAATCTACACTTAAATCTTGCAGCTTCACGATCCCACTAGTCATTGATGGAGGTTGGCTAATTCACCAACTAAGCTCATTTAAAGGGTGTGACAATTATGGTGAGGTAGCAATGGAGTACTAAAAGCTTATCCCTAAAAATCGGGAAGTTACTGTGATTTTTGATGGATATGAGCCTTCTACTAAAGATCACGAGCACAAGAGGAGAGTAAAAGCGTTCTGTGCTAATATTGCTGTAAAGAAATCCACCTTTTGTACTGTCACCAAAACAACATTTCTAAGCAACAACAATAACAAAAAAGAAATTATCGACCTTATCTCAAGCATTTTTTACTGTAAATGGTATTGAAGTGATCAGAGCTTGTAACGATGCTGATACTTTAATTGCAAAGAAAACATTGGAAATGTCATTCCTTGGCGATGTTGAATTGAAGGCAGAGGATACCGATATAGTTTGTCTATTAGTACATCCTTTCAACAGTGACCATCACAATGATATTTATCTAACAACGAAGAAGGGTACATATTCAATCAAAGAAATATCAAGTCATCTAGATCATAAAGAAAAGGAGATACTTCTTCTTATTCATAGTATTTCAGGTTGTGATAGCGTCAGTGGACTGTTTGATTTTAGCAACGTTAAAGTGCTAAAGAAAGCTCTCACCTTTGATGAGCAAGGTCAGTTGGCAACATTACTTTCGGTGAGAGAATCAAAAGAAAAGATTATTGAGGCAGGCCTCTGTTTCTTGCAGTACATTTATGGTGACAAGAAAAAGACTCTTTCTGCTTTGAGATTCCTAGCATACAATAGGATGGTAGCGAAAAAGAGTCTCAATCCGAATAGGCTACCTCCAACAATAGCTTCAGCAACGGAGCACATCCTTAGAGCTTACTTACAGTACCATAACTGGGTCATACTTAACGCTGACAGTCTGAATCCCCTTGACTACGGCTGGAAATTGGCTCCTGGTGGCACTTACGAACCAGTTGCAACAAAAGCTATAATTGCTCCAGAGTCTATTTTGAACCTTATATGTTGTAACTGTTCTGTCGATGTGGAACAGGCCTGTTTGACTTTCAGATGTTCATGTAGGAAATATGGCTTCAATTGTTTGCCAGCTTGTGGACGATGCCATTGCCATGGTATGAACTGCACAAACATTAGACATGATGAACCTGAAGAACAAGCGAATTTTGATTAATATTAACTGTGTATTAATAATTGTCATGGTATTTACTGAGAATACACATTTTAGATTAACTGTATTTGTTATTTGTAGATGAGTTTTGAAATAGATTTGAAATAAGCGTTAAAAATAATTTGGTGTATTTTTTTCGAAATTTCAATAAAATTGAGAAAAATTTCGAAAAATTCCATTTATTTCGAAAAATAAAGCCCCAATCGTTCTGAAACTATCATTTGCCTGCCATAATGTGGCCATTGCGGTCATTTTGCACCCCCTATGGAGATCGCAAGACCTTCGGGAGCCGAATATCCAATATTAGGGGTGGGGCGTATGGGTTCCTGGAGAAAAATGACTATAAAAATGTTTGCCCAAAAGTTTCAGCTGGACGGTTTTTTTTGGTGGTTCCTGGGACTATGGACAACACATTCCTGTAGACAAACCTTTGTTACGAATTTGTTCACAGATTGACCCATAAACAGCAATTCTTGCCCTAACTAAATGGCCATTCAAGATGCATAACATTTAATCATTTCAGCCTAGGTTGTTAAATTAAAAAATGATAGCATAAAATGTGGGTGTCTATATAATAGTGTTATTTCCATCCTATAAGTTTTTTTTTTCTTTCTTTAAAAATTTCTACTAGAGTTTACTGAGCAAGTATAGCAGCCATCTCATCTGTGGGTTGAACCATGGAGACTGGTGGCATTCTGTTATCCATGTGAGTCATAATAACGTTACCCCCCTGTAGACCATACAGTCTACCGCTATACTTGTCGTTCTCTATGAAGTCCTCGAAATACAGCCGTCTCATCTGGAATTGGGTGAGATTAGTGGCAGGAAATTAGGGGTTAGGATACGACTATGTTCGTATTTCTTGTGTTCTATTTACTTGGGTGAGATTAGTGGCAGGAAATTAGGGGTTAGGATACAACTATGTTCGTATTTCTTGTGTTCTATTTATTGATTCTAGAGATTTTGAAAAATGTAAATTTACAGGAAAAAATAAGGAAATTGAAATGAGAAGAAGAAAGCGAGAAGATGAGCTGAGAAATTACAGATACCTTGAAGAAGGTGGCTGAAGTGAGAAGACTATCAGATCCAGCTTGATGTTGAGATCCAATTCTTTCGACCTCTAGACTATCTGCCGTTTCCTGAGAGCACACAACTGTTAAACCATTTCTCTTGAACATTTATAACAAAGACAGGATTATAATGTCATGATGAAGCAACTTGTTTTAATTAAAAAGGCAAATATGGAATAATCAGATCTATCGATAAAAATTTATGTTATTTCCTATCCCGGCACTTGAGGATTAATTTAAAGCAGTGAACAACGACTATTAACGATTAACTTGTCATACTTTCAACTACACAATTTACCTGCAAACCGCCCTTCAAAGTTTTACAACTCTTCATTAGATATTTTATGTCGTACACTATAGGAAAGTACAGTCTCATAAGATCAAAGAAGTCCTGAAAAAAGTGAAGTAGTTACAATCATTAATAATTATTAGTGGAGGATAAACTTAATTCTCTCATGATCAGTATGTAACTGTCCATAATGTAAAAGTTGTTATCTCACTCTTTTTACGCTAATAGAGTGCAATAACTGGGAGGGAGATAACTATTGTTATCTCCCTGGTACTACATTTAGGCTGTGATTAACAAGTAAATAGGAGGGAGATAACTATTGTTATCTCCCTGGTCCATCCTTATCTCTTAAAAATGTTACAGGTCGCTGAGATGTTGCTAATTATTTTAAATTGGTCAAATAAGCTCAGTGAAGCTCACACTCACACAAAACTTGCCACAAATGTTTGACTACTTGTTATTGACATTCTGTAAAATTTTGAAACAAAAATATTTATCAGAACATAAGTAATGCCACTTTCTGTTTTTAAAATAATTTGCAACATCTCAGCGACTTGTAACAATTTTAAGAGATAAGGATGTGTCGTCTAGAAAGTTTGACTCTTGAATGTTATATGTAGTAATATTAACGGGTGATACTCGTAAAATATTTGTTCCAATTATTATTCCAACTCGGCGCGCGTCCTGGTAAGTTATAAACTTACAATAGTAATATTATCGGTCGTTAATTTCCGATGTAAATGCTGCATTCGCTAGCATCATTTCGTAGATCATCAGAGAATGCATTTACATCACTGCTTATTATATATTATATAATATGATAACATGAGTTATATCCCTCGGTCAAACCTCGGGATATAACTCGTTTTATCCAACTCGTCAAACTCGTTGGATAAAACTATTTTCACAACTCAAAGTTGTGAAAATAATGTTATCACATTATAAGCAGTGATGTAACTGCTTAATACACGTAAAAGAGTTTAAACCAATTGGTTTACAAGTGACAATTGCTAGAGCACCTGCAACCTGCAATCTTCCCAGAAAGAAAGAAAACACAATTTTAACAAAGGAATCATACTAACATCCTCTTCATCAGGGAGGTTCCTGTTGGTCAGCACTTTGAGCAGGTACCCAAAGTCGTAGGGCGAGTGGAAACTGACGAAGTGGGTATCTACCAGAACCAGACCGGATGGAATGAGCAGCTCAGCAAAGTCATCCACATCAATACCTTCTTCTTCGTGACGTTTGAATTGGATACCAGATCTGTTTAGCAAGTCTATTGAGTCCTGAGGTTTAAAATGTTTAGATTTAAGACCCAAATACAATGCATCTTTTTAAGCTTTCAAGCGAGATCAGATTTTGATCGTCATTTTGAAAAAGCAATATATTCAACTAATGAAGACCTAATCAACTCCCTTTTGAACTAACCTGGGCATACATATCTTCGTTTAGACTGAACTTGAAGTTGAACTGCCAGGTGCAAGGACCCTTGGGATGCTTTCCTTGTTCGTCTGCCAGTGTAATACCTGGCAATCTTATGTTACCTTTATTCACGAAAATAACCTAATATCAACAATCTACATCACGGATTCCATCGCAGTTAGTATCACGGATCTGGGATATACCAACATCAGGTTTCTCAAACAATATCATTTATTTTTCAAATGATTTCCAACTCCAACTTACCGAGCTGTATGATCCTCAACATGTCCACGTTCACTTTGAGGAGCTGGTACATGTAGTCGTTGTTGCTGCGGAACTCACCAAGTGGCCGAGCCACAACTCCCGGAAATTCAGTATCTGGATATTATTAAAATTAGGAGATTATCGTGTTATTAAATGTATTATAAGCAGTACAAAAGGCAACCAAATAACTTCGTGATAACTTCATATTAGGGTTTCTATCTATACAATGTCTAGATAAAATTGTCTAGACTATTCAACAACTATTTTTGTCCGTTTGTCTAGACAATAATTCCAAATTATATAGACAAAATTTGTTGTGTTCGATATCAAAGTATAAATGTAACACGGCCTGCATCTGTGGAATGGCCAGCACTACATTATGTATAATGTAAGGAGGAGAGAGATAGGGGAAGAAAAGGAAGAGTAAATATTTCTAATACTCAGCTCTATTGAGCTGAAATATAGCTATACTTTAATTAGAGGACGGCGAACAAGATGGTGTTGCTTATTTTTTTAATCATAACTCAAGTTTTAGCTGTTTTTAAGCCCATGCCCATTTGTCCAAAAATTGGGGAATAAATGAAGATGGGGTTGGCCGCCCCAAATTGTCTGATGTGTCTGTTTTATCTAGATATGTAATTCGAAAAATGTTGTCTATTGTCTTGACAAAAAATTTACCAGATAATTAAAAGCCTTTATATTTTTTTTTGAATTTTCTATCTTGTGTATTATATCATAATTTGTTATCTACCTATTGAAACATAGTTGTAGGTTGGAATAAGTTGTCTGATCTTCTCAAACTCTTCCTCCATGTTGTCCCTCCAGACATCACGGATGAGGTTGTTGGCGATAGCAGTGCTGGTGGGCATCACTCTGAGCTGTTCCTACATGTACCTACACACTCTTTCTAACAAATACTGTCTGGTTTAGTAACTTTATCTAACATGTAATAGAGATGTTAAATGATTTATTATAAAATTTTAAGTTCAAATGAAATTTGAAGTCAATTATAGATACATTTTTTAATTGTAAACTGAAAATTTAGAAATAAAACACAGGTGTAAATTATGAAAGATCATCGTTTTCATAAAATCACAACGTTACAACGTTACAACGTTACAACGTTACAACGTTACAACGTTACGTTGTTGCAAGTTGATAAAGCCTTTCACAGTTAGTAAAATAATAACTGTTTTTATCAGCGCAGCCATCAGTAAACTTGGGTTGTTTTGAGTAAAAACAAGAGTGTCCAAGATATTGAGCAAATTTAAATCATGTTTTCGAGAACTTTTGACGAAGTAGGGTACTTTCACAGCAGGGTCAAATAAATTAATTGCTCGGAATAAAACGCTATAATTTGGTCCAGGTAATACCAGTTTTGAGTGTGTAAATGTGTATTGCCCCTTCTGTGACAGTGACCAGTTTCAATAACCAAGTTTATGGATGGTGGCATAATATACTGATAGAAAAAAAAATACAAAACCGCAGAATCAGTATAACAAGAAGATTAAAAAACCCTGTGGGTAAGCAGATTTTTAGGAATCTAGATAATTTATTAGGAAGATAGACATTTTCAAATTACATATTCTACTGAAACACTACAGTAATTCTCCCTCTTGTAAAACCCTATTTGAATCAAAAATTCTATACTTTGTCGTGTAAATGAGTGTACAAGAAACGTTTTGAATCAAATATTTAAATTTAATAATTATCATCGAAATTATATAGAATTAGCATCAATGACCGATGATTAACGATAATCTCTTCTTCATAATTTCCACTGCAGCCATTGACTTTGCTGACCGATATATCTAACTTTCCTATAAGACCGAGAATGTAGAATAATTCTAATGAAACTTTATAGTACACTTTACAGTACACTGTACTCAACAGACCAGTCGTTACTCATTTACAAAATAAGAAGCGAGGTTTTGCGAATTTGTTTCAAGGATCAACAAGTTATTTGTTGAAAACCCTGTTTAAAAATAGCGAAGACCTCAAAAATGTTATCCATCAATGACCTGCTGACTGTTTCTAGTACAGAGCAGCCACTTTGGATACATGTGCTAAGCAACTTGTTATGAGCCCATTACGAAGAACAAAAACACTACAAAAACATTCACTTGCAAGATAAAGATAGAAAGATCACAATAAAAACTGAAACACATTTTTGAATTCTTACTTTATTTGAGATCATATCTTTCCCGTGATAATATTATTGGAACTGGCACCTAAATACAATTACTGTATGAAAGATCAGAGAATTGTTTGAATACTAAAGATAACACGAAACATAACATTCCAAACATGCTTAATCAAAGTGCCATCAAAATTAACAAATTTAAAACTCCTTTCGTTTGATCAAATTGATGAACAGGGTCCGATCATTGCATTGTAGCTATAGTATGAATATTATATAATCAGTTATATCTATATTTATGTTCACAGATCTGACACAATGACTCACTATTAATGGTATTATATAAATTAAAGGTTGCAACTATGTCCTTCACATCATGAAGTATTATCAGCTCAATTTTTCAACAATTCAGTCTCCAACAAATTGTATGGTAGCGAAATAATAGCAGTTTAATTAAAAGCTTCTTCAACTGAATAGAAATGAAATATAAAGCATTCTCTTGGCCTAAATTTGAAGATATTCCTTCATATAAATTGTGAAGTGGGACGGCGTGCGTGTTGGCAAATATTTATTTTATTGTTAGAACATGGATCTGTTTCAACTGAAGGCAGTGTTTGGATAAGCTCAGGGGTGTTTGATTGGCATAGTGGGTGTACAAAATCATGAAAACCACCAATAGCAAGATATCCGAATACTTTGATCTTGTAACCTATTCAGAGCTTTTAATACATTATGTAATAATCCACCTATTTGTAAGCTGAATCAACAATGATCTTCCGATTAACATAACAAAATTTGTAAAATCTTTAGGCTCAAACTTTGTTTGAATGAGAATCGCTCAGAGAATACAATCCAAGATCTAGTTCGATTAATAATCGAAAACAGTAAGGTATTCAATATGTTCACCTCTATTTACCATGCTTCTATTTACCAGGTCCCTCACATTACCAGGACTACCTTAATTCCTTTCGCCCAAATCGTTTTTCATGCATAATATCATATAACTCATGATACCTTTATTTACCATTAAATACATCATGCCTTCGCCGAAAGGCATGGTAAATAGAGGTTAGACTGTACACTGAATTGCGAAAAAGCTTTTAACTTTAAGATAAATGTTACTACACACTAAATAATCAGGGAGTATGTTTGCTTATATCTAATATAATTATATGTCTGAATGTCTGACTATACCTGACACTAACACATTAAAAACGTGCTATGAATACCATGGAATTAAAATCTGGTGAAACAGATAAAGTCATATAGATGTTACTGAAAATTAATTCAGTTACAGAATTTTGTAGAAGATAGATCAATTATTGAAAACCGTCGCTAAACTTTTATTACGGTAGCAAAGAATAATCCCTACCGAGGTCAAGATCTTTATGTATAAAAAACTGTTAAGTCTTTCAATTTTCGACATGAATCCTTTTATTAATAAAATCTTACTTAAAACTAATTATTACAATATGGCCGAAAAAATTAGGGCAAATTAGGGCAAACTCCGTAGGCTATCCACTACGATAATCGTAACCGATAATTATCTCCGATAATTCGTTAAAAAAAGTTATCTGTTTATCTAGATAAAATATATTTTTATCGGTATAAAAATTCACTAGAAATTACCGAAAATACTGCCACAATACAGTGAAATTTTAAAGAAATATTAGTAGTTTTGCCTCTCTCTGTTCCCAAGTTATCCAAGAAACAGTCCCAAACGTCTTCTAGTATGATAGAAGGGGTAGTTTACTTGGATGTGAGCTTAAGATGTTTATTTACATTTGTTTACCTGTAGAACTGTATGAACTGCAGAAATCCAGAGAAGGTTATTGACATTGTTCTCTAGAGGGTGCTGGCGTTTTACCTTATAACCATTCTGGAGACGGGCACAAGCATGGTACTGTTAACAGAAGTCAAAAATACCGGCAGGGCACTCAATTGAATTCCGGACGTGTTCTGGGGGTGAAACATTGTCTTCAAGAGAAGGAATCTGTTGCTCCAAGTTATCCACAGGATAAGGAAACGGTTCACTGAATCACTTTAAATGCTTTACTGTTTTGAAGAGAACTGGTAGTACACTACTGTTCTCAGGATAAGGAAACCTTTGGTCTACTGTTTTGAAGAGAAATAGTGCGTTACTGTTCTCAGGAGAAGGAAACCGGCGGTCTACTGTTTTGAAGAGAACTGGTACACTACTGTTCTTAGGAGAAGAAAACCGTTGGTCTACTGTTTTGAAGAGAACTGGTGCACTACTGTTCTTAGTGAGAAGGAAACTAGCGCTATACTGTTTTCTGGAGAATGTTCACCCCTGTTCTTAGGATAAGAAAACTGATGCTCTAGTATTTTAAAGAGAATTGGTGCACAACTGTTCCCCGGAGAAGAAAACTGATGCTCTAGTATTTTCAAAAGAAAGGAAGTGGTACTTTACCAAGATTACTGGTAAAACAGTCATAAAGCTCAACAATTATTTTTTGTGAAATTTTGAAAACATTTTGGCTTTGGCCTTCAGCAGAAAATTATCGGTTTTATCGGTTTTATCTAGATAAAACCTAAATCTTTATCTGTTTATCTAGATACAAAATTTCATACCGATAATGGATAGCCTAGGGCAAAGGTACTTACAGTACAAACTAAGGACAACAAAGTGTTATCCAATTACATGCAGTTATTGCAGTATGAACTAAGATTTTAATAATGAATCGTATTTACGGCAAAAAATGCAGTAGGCCTTATTTATTGGATCTTTTCTAAAATATCCGATAAAACCGAATTAATATATCCGTTGAATATATTGTGGAGTGAATTTGACTGTGCCAAATATAAAGTAGATCTTAAATGCCATAATTAACTAAATCTATTATTGACGTCAAAAGGAGAGGAAAATCACTAAATTTTCCTAAAAGTGCAGAAACAGAGACTAGAGCTCTCTGAAAAAAGCACTGGAAGAACATAACTTGGTACATAACGATTAAAAATATTTCACACACATAATCATGTGCTACGTACAACCAGCTGTCTCATATGAAAAGAAGGTTTTAAGTTAAATTTGGATGAGTTTTATTGAACATGGATGAATTTTTAAATCGAGAGATGGTTGTACCTATGGGCTATTTAAAGTTATCATCTCATGAAACTTTAAAGTAAACTTCATGTAACATTAACCCTTTCGCCCAATTTAATAAAATGTAGCAAAATCGTATAATATACATAGTTTCAAATCAAAAACACGTGATTGATCACTTTAGATTCTACCTCTGCAAGCAAAGGCGTTTTCCTTAATCAAATTTAAAAGGAGACTTGAAATTTCTTTTTAGTGAATTAAGGCAAGGAAGATGAGCAAGCCATGCATCTGTATTGTTGAGCATCCTCATACCATATTGGATAATATTTGGTACAGCATTATTGTCAGCAACTCCAAAAGCATAAGGGGTACAAAAACATACCATTACTGTATTACCGTTTGCTGACTGCACTGAAAAGATTCTGATGTGTACAAATAAGAGACACCCATCCAAGCAGTAGTGTCTGATTACAGTATCCTTGTATCCTGATTTTGTTAAATCATTCTTGATATTTCCAAAGCAGGAGAACAGATCATCATCAACAACATAGTCAAGAGCATTTTCGTGATAAACTTCAAATCCCAGTAGTTTGTCCAGATACGTATATGTTTTGTTGAGGAATGAAAATGACTCATCCAGTAATATTTCTTGTACAGTGAACAGTGAAGTAATTGTGTTGTGTATGGGCTCCACTTTTTCAGCTGCAGCAAGGAAAAGTTCAT